GCACAGCCACGAGCACAGCCACGGGCACCAACACGGCGATTCGAATGCAGCACCGAGCCTAGAAGACAGAGATCACGGCCAAGATAACCAACGCAAAGACGACAGCGACAACACTGCGAACAAAGCAGAACACAACCCCGAACCTCGTTCCGATTCSCACAATCACGGCCACGACCATGCCCATTCCCACAATCACAACCACAACCACAACCACGGCCACAATCACAACCACTCCGGGACGAATCCCGCGAGGGGACCCCTCCGGAACCTTCCCGAAATCAAGCGCCTCCTGGAAGACTCCGGCGACGAGTACATCGATCCGTGGGTGAAATCCATGGCCATTGCGACCTTCACCGAGCTCGCAAAGGCAGAGGCCGCCACGCACGGCGCCGAGGGCATCGAATCGGTCCACTTCCACGAGGTCGGAGCCGTCGACAGCATCGTGGACACCGTCGGGACCCTCCTCGCCCTCCACGCCCTGGGGGCGCGGTCCTTTTCCTGTAGCCGGATCCCCATCGGCGAGGGGACGGTCTGGACGGACCACGGGATCCTGCCCGTCCCCGCACCCGCGACGCTCCGGCTGCTGGTGGGCATGCCCACGTGCCCGGGCCCGGAGGGGGTCGTCACGGGGGAACTGGTGACCCCCACCGGGGCCGCCCTGCTCCGGACCCTGTGCCTAACCAGCAACGCCGCGGCCCCGACCAGGGGCGGCCGGACTCCGAGCTTCACCATCCGGGGRATCGGCATCGGGGCCGGGACGAAGGATTTCGTCAAGCACCCCAACATCCTAAGGCTCCTGATCGGAGACGACGTCGTCACAAAGGGCTGAACGAAACCGGAATCGCAACCGGAACTGCAACCGGAATCGCAACCGATCGATGGATCGATCGATCGCGACGCGGTGTGCCCTGCAACACCGTGCGGAAGACGCTGCGGCGGGATCCGAGACGCAGCGAGAGCGCAAACGAAGGATTCATGGATGGGTGTTCTGCAGTGCCCCGKCTGGGCTGAGGTTTGGTGACCAAAAACAAAAAACGCCAAAAGAAATCGCACGGTGCATTCGAAAACAAAACATACTAACAAATAGTGACAATAGAGWACTCGTCGATTCAAGCCAAAGAAATTTGACGACTATACGATTGGTTCCTTCGTCTACATTAGATTMAAAATGAATAGTAGTATTCCATTTCGCTGTTGTGTTCCTTACAGCAACAGAATTACGGGGGACTGTTTTGCTGCGGCGCTTCTTCTCTCCCCGCAAGTGTGTACTGTTCAAATCATAGCAAGAAAACAGACCTACCGTACGGATGTCCGTTGCGATTGAACGGTACTCGAAGCAGAACACACGGTCAGGCGTCGCTTTCGTCGTCCTGTTCCTTTTCCGGAACTCCCAGGAAGTGTTCCTGGCCATRAAAAAATCAACGAGAAAAAACAAAACAAAACAAATGAGCAATCGACGGGTTCCGATGTGTCAGCTGTGGTCTTCCCCCAAAAAACAACAGACAGGCCACTTACCCACGAGATCCAGTCTCCGGTGCGCTTGAAGTATTCGTCGGGTCGAGAGGGAATGTACGCATTTCGTTTTTCTCCGGAGGCAATCCAATCTTTCCTGTTGCACACCACCRAACGRACACGAACGAGCGGGTATCCACCGCCGAAAGAAATCAGGGTAAGTAATCACGAATAAATCAATAACCACAACACGATGCATCGACGCATTACAACACTGGTTGCCGGGGCAATCCCTCACCGCGGCGACGCCATCGGTTTCCCCGGACTCGTGTTGCCGTACGCACCACTCTTCAGCGCTCTCCCACCGGTTGCCCCACGCCTGGACCCATTTTTGGCATTCCTCGTAGGGAAGAAAGCGGGGGCCGGACTTCAGAAACCGCCGCTTGTTGGCTTCCTCCAGCCGCAGTTTTTCGATCCTCCAGTTCAGGTCTTCCAGAACGACGCCCGCCGGTCTCCCCCTCACGTCGGAGCAGAGCGCGGGCTCTCGTTCGTACTCGTAGTCGTATTCGTCTTCCTCCTCCTCGTCGTCTTCGCTACTGGCGCTGCCCTCGCCGCCGTCACTATTTTTCGAGGCGTTTGTTCGCAGCCGGTGCACTCTCGGCGAAGAASAACACCGGCTACACCGCGTAGCATCCGCCGTGGAACCCGAGACCACGAATCCCGTTGCGGTGTGCAAAAGCACGCACAAGAGTGTCGTCACCAAAATCACTTTCGGTGTCGTCGAAGAGCATCCAATGGCTTGGTTGCRAGGCACTATTGGCCTGGATCCAACCGCGGTCATTTTCTTCGAAACGAATCGGTCGGAGAAATGWATTGTGCTGCGTGGTTTGTTGCGYTTTGTTTCTTGTGAAATGTCCCGACAACCTGGACCTGGAATCGAAGTTTCCGATGGTTTCGCTATTCATGCACTACTGTATGCTGTGTGMAGTCGAAACTATCTSCGTCGATTCTTGTGTCTCGGCCTTAGGTACCTTCAGATGATGACAAATAAGAATTCCGGACGTTCCGACACAAGTTAAAATTGACAGCTGTGGGYGTGGAAGAGATATGCAATTTTTATYGATAGCGAATGGAGGAGAAAGCTTTTAAAGTCGACTAAAGCAAGAAYGATAACAACCAGATGACKGCGATGCAGGGAAGAAGAAATGCCTTCGTCAAAACCAGCTTTTCACAAAACAAAAACAGGATGCGCAACATGAAATTTGTTCTGAGAACGATCGGAATGCAGAACAAAAAATSATCGGATCGAACAGAGGTTTTTGCTCCACCGTCGTATGGTACGAGTACTCGTACCACTGTACGGTAGGCACGCAATACGAGAAACACAAACAGCTGACTGACACCCTCGTTATTTCTTTCTCCAGATTTCTATGCGTGCTTTGAATTCTACGGGAGGAATGAACGCATTGTACGTATCACACCAGAGCAAGGTGATCTGTTGACAGTCACTTTTCAAGGAACCATTATGAAGTTGACTAACTCGACCATTATTTCATAGTTTGAGCTTGGACGMTACTACCATGTACGTGGAACAGCACGTAATCGTATCGGTACACGTTCCCTCTGTATTCATATCTTCTTAATCTAGTAGTAGTATGTATGACTACTAATAACACCGGCTACGGACCGGTACCGTACGTAGGGTACCGGTAGGTCGAACGGATGTGTTACTGTTCGGTCATTTTCTGTTGCGGCAAGTGACGTACGTAGTTCTTTCAGAGCTGAACTCTCATCACTGATCAATMAAAAAATACACCTCATGCAAAAATTCTCACAACTTCCTTTCCACCCACCGACCAGCGACAACCAACAACGTACAATACCGGTGTGCCGTACACGAAATCAACAAGAYAGGCCACACCTCTTGCAACGAAGCACTGCCGTTCAACCCATTTTCATTGCCCGAATATATTTTTATCAAACTTMAACCGAAAACAATGCCTAAGATTTCGTCCCTCCTTCTCTTCGTTTCGGCCTTCGTTGGCACGGATGCATTCGGACTTTCCCACGGAGCTTCTTCTCGACGACATGTGTCGCGGGAGGCAACTCGCTTGCACTCCCTCGAAGAAGGATCTACCGTGGTGGTGTGCACCGGGCCGACCTGCACCCGAAACGGCGGAAAGAAAGCCCTGGTCCACTTCAAGGAGCTGGCCGGTGATTTGGGCGTCACGGTAGAAACCACCAAGTGCGTCTCCGAATGTGCCGAGTGTGGCCTCGGACCGAACGTCGAGGTCCGCGAACCGAGCTTCGATGGACTGTTTCCCCCCATCAAGAACCGAGTCAAGACGGAAGAAGACGTCAAGAAGGTCCTCGGGATATAGACGATTTCTCGAAGGTGCAGATGGATGGATGGGTTCATCCTTTCGTCCATCGCGTGTCGAGTCGCCAAAGTCGCCATAGATTTCGAACAACGTCATGACTACCACTATTGTTGTTGGCAGCAAAAATATCTTTGGGAACTGAGTGCTTTGGGCAGAGTCACTATCATTGTCGGGTGTTCTTTGGTTTTGCCGAAGGGCACCAAGAAATCGTTGGGGTTGGAATAAAGYGGAATCAACGTTCGAAAAAGTGGTTTCGTGTAGTTGCAGTTGGTTCTCTCCAACTACCAAAGTAGGTTATATTATTCACACCAGTGGCACAACAGATCAAGTTGCTTGGGACAAAAAGATAACAAAAAATGCCAAACGAACGAACACGAACAGCACCAGACGAACCATTCCTGTGACAAAAACTTAACACCAAAATATAGTAACCAGTTTTCTATCATGTGACGGATCTATGCTTTGGAGACAAAAATAATCGCACTCTGATTAGATTTTTATCCTACTACTTCGTATCTGTCGAGCCATCCTCTCACAATCTCATACGTAAGAAACATCAATGCCGAGTTGGGTACGACCTTCATCAAGTGCACCCCCATACCGGAGTAGAGCGAGTTGAACCCCTCTTCCTTGGCCATGACCGAAAGGCACCCCCACATACCGTTCTGGTACTTGAAGACACCCGCTCGCGCCTGTTCTCTCATTCGCGTTCGCGCCACTTCGTGCGGGTACGTAGCCACGGCGGCAATGGCCTTCGAGCACGCTGCGGCCCAGAAATAGGTCCCCTTCGACAATTCCTGGCTGGGTCGCAATCCCTGCTCGGCGCGCTTCTTGTTTTGTCGAGTGATCAGCTTCGACTTCAGTTGTTCGTAAATAATGAATTGCGTAGCTCCCTCGAAACAGCCCCAATAGCTCGCCGTGATCCCCTTGTAGAATCCACCGAGTCCCTCTTCCTGGAAGATGGTCCGGATAGCGTCCGCGTACCCGGCGTATTGTTTTTGGCCCGCCGACGCATCGACCAAGATCTGCATTCTCGTTCGGACCATCCAGATCGGATTCGTCAGCGTGTTGCCAACKATTCCCGCCGAGAACCCGGCGATCATGGCGTTCGCCGGAGATCCTTCCGGAAGGGTTGGATTGAGGAAGGTCTTCATCTTTTGGTAGGCGTAAAAGTACGCCGAGCGCGAGGGGATGATTCCGACCAGGGTGGGGGGGAGCCCGCGCCAAAATCCCGGAATCCCATCCGCGTCCAGAATTTTCTTCGCAATCTGGGACGGGTTGGATTTTGCAGAGTTGGAAGACTGGAGCTGCGTTTTCACCACCTCGAGTGGATTGGTTATACAAGCAGCCACCGTCCCTGCCATACCACCGGACAACAATCTTTTGGAATCGTGTAAAATGGATGCGAACAAGCGAAAAAAAGTCGATTGGTGAGCGACGAAACGGGTGGCGATTTCCCCCCCAAAATTTCAACAGACCCTGGGCATGGCCATCCAAAGAAAYCCATMTCGTAAAAGTGGTTTTCAACACCGATGCGACGAAGGCCATGCGCCTGCCGAGGGGCAATTGCTGTCCAAGTGCCGCCGCCGGGARATTGCCGCGGCGCCTGTGCCCGAAACTTACTTGAGCGACTCCATTCGTCGTGCCGTCATGGTCCGCACGGCCTTTGCCGCCGCAGCCGATCCACCCCGAACATCGGACTGGATGGTCCTCGCAACGCTGCGAACCTCGGTGCGGGCGCAGTCGTCCGGGTGCGAGCGGCGGTTTGTCGGGCCGTGGGTCCTGGCCGTCCCCCAAAAGGCCGGGTTGTTCCTATCGCCGGATTGAAACGTTCGGTAATTCAGTGCCGGAAGGCTCTGTCCTATCTGGTTGGCACCGAATCGCCCCTCGACCGCACWGAGTCCGATCAGCACGAGTGTGCAGARCAAATAGAGAAATTTCATTGGTGTTTGTCTGTAGGGTACTGATGCCGTACCCGGGAACCTGGAATATTTGGCGGCGGGTGATGGTTTCTTTGCTTGCTTTTTTTGGGTAGGTAGTTACAAGTCGGTTGTTCTACGCAATCAATCGATCTCTCTTCTCTTGGCTTGGCTTGTGATGGTTGGAAGCTTTTCAGAACTTCGTTGCAGTCGTATTGTTGTGTTGTGCTATTTGTATTTTTTCTGGTATTTTCTGGTTTGGCGGATTTGATTGGAATGCGTTGAAGACAGAACAAAGAGAAGGGAAATTCACTGAAGACACCATCAATTATTCCTTGACAAGTGGCGGTGTCAGACTGAGATGTTATTCGTAGGAGAATCTGAATCTACCAAGAAAGAGTACGGTACTTTTGCCTTRCAGTAATATTCGTACGTGYTTCCTACCGTGATCATCACCCTTATTATTTTGAATTTTCTTTCTTCTAGAATTATTTTCATTGGACATTGGATTCTTGCATCCAGTTTGGCTGGAGGGCCGAAATAGGTTATGATCCTTATATTATATCTCAGTCCCGGACTGGTTTCTTTCCACGAATGAGATTGAACAAGGACCGTCCAAGGAACATTTTTTYATCGTTTGCTCCGTGCTAGACTGCGATGCGGGATATCTACAGCACGGCACAGCACGGCACGGCACAGCACAGCACGGTATCAATGGCAGCAGCTTGCTCACTGCTCCAATCGGACACCTGAACGATCGCGAAGGAGTGAAMGGAGAATCATCACCGCCGGCATAACATTGTATCACTACGCGAAAGAATAGAGTTGTTCTCGATCACATTGCCACCATGAGCGAAAAGAAGACTGCCGAAGAATACAAGGCGTACGTACTGTATAGTGACAGAATTCGATCCGTCGCGACATAGCCCTGGATGATGATTCATTCGCGTGCTGTCGCCTTGCCCTTTTCATCCGACACAAGATTACGGTACGGCACACTTTTGTTCTCACTCCAAACGTTGCTGCTTCCTTTTTTGTGTGCACGTCTTTTGATAGCCTGGGGAACGAGGCGTTCTCGAAAAAGGACTTCAAAACCGCCATTGAATTCTATTCCAAGGCCATTCTGCAGGAACCCAAAAACCATATTTTTTTCTCGAACCGAAGGTACGTTGTGGACTGCGACGCAACTCAATACTKATCGAAAGACGACAATAATGGTTTGCGTTGCATCATAGATTCGAGTATCCTGCCGTGCTGTTTTTTGCATGGCAACACTGCCTCTTTATCGTTGCTTATGACTAGTACTTGTCGTGTTTCGTTAATTGCATCGATTGCATCGAATCGAATCATCGCATTGCTTCTTCAGTGCGTCTCACGCGGGCTTGCAGGACTGGGAGAGCGCCATTACCGATGCCAAGGAATGCATCCGATTGAACCCCGAGTTCATCAAGGGGTATTACCGTCTCGCCACGGCGCAGCTCGAGTCGAAGCAATACGACGCAGCGGAAGCCACCATCAAACAGGGACTGGGGATCGATGCCAACCACGGGCAGCTCACCCGGCTCCTGCGGAACGTCAAGCTCAACAAAAAGGCGGCCGCCGCGCCGTCGGCGCCCTCCCTGCCGCAAGGCAGCAACGCCGCCCGGCAACTCGACACGGCGACGATGCGGGAAATCCACGACCTGAAGGTGCAATACGGCGCAACGGCACGGGAATACAACACCGTCAGGGCCAACTTGATGAAGGCCGCAAAGGAAGAAAAAATGTACGGCATTACGCTCAACGAAGTAAAGGAAAACCCGTCGGCGACCGGGGACTATTACCGAAGCGTCGGRAAATTGTTTATGCGACAAACCCAACCGGAAATTCTAGACCATTTGGAAACAAACATCGAAAGCCAAAAGAAAAAGCAGCAAGAGCTTTCCGGAAAATCGGACTACCTGGAGAAGAGATTAAAATCTCAGCAAATGAACATGAAGGAGTTGGCTCAGCAATGATGAACTATTCTACAGTGCCGTAAAGTTGGATCGGGTGGAGGGGGAGGGAATCAGTGCAAACGTGCCAAATATTTATGCGATTGGGGGCACTCGAATCCTCTAGCTCTCAAGCTACAATAGCATGGTTGGTGCGGAGCCGAAGTCCACAAAATTTGGCTCGGATCCTTTCACTTACTGTTGACACTTGGAAATAGTACTTATTTCTGAGGAAAAGGCGATAATTTACAAAACTATAATTACAATCCATTTTGGGACACGGCCAAGCAGAGGAACCTATTTGTGTGGCACATCCACAGAATCTGTTMTYTTCTGGCCTTTCCGTTGTAGTTTCCTCTGTCGAGATTTAATGTCACTGATTTTTTTTAGAAGCTTTTTGTTGGTTTTGTAATCGGACGACAATACCAGCTTCTCCGCATTTTGAGCGGCGTCCCGTCGGCGTGATTTCCCCCATGCATCTAGCACCGTTTGGTAGGACTTTGCGTTGGGCTTCCCGAGCAATACATCGCTGTCGTAGAGTTGGTTCATTTGTGCCAGTATCTTTTCTGCTCGCTCCGCCGCTTGGGGGTGCYKCGAGCGCCTCCAGGCTGCCAAGAGAACCGTAAAGGTGGCTTGCTGGGGCCTCCTCGATTCCACGGGATGCTCGAGAAAGGAGGCAACGAGCTTGCAGGCCCATTCCTCTGCCTTGTCCAGCTGTCCCTGGCGAGCGTAAGCGTTGACCACGGTATTGTAGGACACTGCGTCGGGGTCGCTCACGCGATCCCCAAAGAATGCTTCCGCTCGCAATCCATTGCCTTTCTGGGCCCATGCGTTCAAAACCATGTTGCACGTGATCGTGTCGGGCGGAGACGCAAGCCTCCCTTCTTCGTGCGCTGCATACAGTCCCTTCACGTATTTCTCGGCGCTGAGAGGATCCCCGGTCTTGCAGTACATGGCAATGAGGGCTACTTGCGCGGCAAGGTTGGGAAACAGCGCGCCATCTCGGAGCTTTTCCAGTTCTTCCGTCCAGTACCGGATTCGTTGTTTCACCCGTTTGTTGATCTGTCTGTGCTTGCACCACGCAACGATTATGCTGCTATACATTTCTACGATGAGTTTTTCCTCTTCGTCTCCAAAGACCAAAGGGCTGGACGGATCGAATTTGTCTTTCCACACCGGCTCCTTTTGCAACAGCAGAAAGAAATCTTCTGCGTCTCGAGCTTCCGATGCCTCTTGCGCCAGTGCTCGCATGACAATTGCCCACATTTTCAGACTGACCCGGTCCTTTTTTTCTCTCAGCCATCCCATGACGGCCGTTCCCTGGTCCGCCGAAATACCCAACAAGAGTTGCTGCAAGGATTCTTCTTGCGTGACAAAGTCGCTTTCGCACAGAATTTGGAGCAGAACCATGGAATCGACATCTCCGCCGCCGTCCTTGTTTTCTTGGTGTTGGTGCTGGTACCAGTCTAGCAGAGTGGTGGTGCACGATACAATGGCACTTTCGCTCATCCCCTCTAGTTTTGCGTATGCAAGCAACCATTCGATGGCTCCCTGGGAATCTCCCCGAGCCAAGAAGACATCGATCAGCATGCGATACGTTGTAGCGTTCGGTGCGAATCCCAGGGATTTCATYTTGTGGAGAACCTTCCTGGCTTCCCCGATGTCTTGTGCCGCTGCGCAGGCACCGAGCCAGGCATGGAAAAAGGGGCGATCCAGCCGTAGCTCCTCTGGTCGGTCTTCTTGAAGTTCCTCCGATGCCTCCTCCCGCTCCCGCTCTTGCGTCTTGTAGGCAGCGAGGCATTCGTCTGCGAGGGCCTTGGCTTTTTGTAGGTCGCTTCCGTTGGCCTTGATCGCCGATGTGTAGGTAGCAATGTTCGGCGACACGGAAGCAGCACCCTGCAACTGCTCCAAGATCTTGTTTGCCCGRGAGGCATTGTGTTGGCGGGCAAACCCCTCCAGGAGGGCATTGTAGGCTCCCAGGCTCGGCTGCTGGACCTTCCGGCGAGCGCCGTCAATGCCCAGGGATGCCACCCCGGCGGGGCCCCACTCCTCCTTCTTTCTGGCTACCACGGTGGCGTTCAGCAGTTTCAGGCTGTTTGATTTKGTGTTGATGGTTTTGGAATCAGCGGCGTCGCCGGGGGAATCCGGTGCGTCTGCGTTTGGGYTGCTCGCAAGGGCTGCACCGCTGTCGAGGCCGTGGGCCGTTCGGTAAAAGCTCCAAAACTCTTCCAGGACTTCCAGSCCCTTTTCCGGTTGGCCGTGGGCAATGGCATACGCCGAGATCACCCGGTTCCAGGCTATGGCATCGGGCGGGAGCGACGATTCCCCCCGCAGGTACCGCCGCGCCAACTCGTTCAGGTAGGATTCGGCAATCCGTGGGTCGTGGAGGGCCCACACGTGGATCAGTGATTGCAGAAGGGTTCCCCTGGGATCGTGGATTCTGGCCTCGTGGTTCCCCTCTAAAGGGCTGGTGCTGGTGCTGGTGCTGTTGTTGTTGTTGTTGGTTCGGACGCTGCCGCTCTGCGGACCGGCCTGGTGGTTTGCCCATTCGTCGACCAGTGCCTCGCACCGCTTGGGTGCCAGTTGGTGTCCCGTCAGGACGTTTGCCTTGAGCATGATCCGGAGGGTGACCTCGTCGGGGCGGACCAGCGAGTCCCGGCCGGCCTCGTTCCACATCCATTTCCAGAGCGATTGGCAAAAGCCGAGATCGACGGGGACGGAGGCCGTCTTGGTTCTTTCCCGGTGTTTTTCCGCGTTCGAGAACCTGTTTCTTCGGTTGGCAGCAAACTTGGTGCCGTTGGGGTTGTAGTTGTGGGTAGCGACGGCGTCCAGGATGGTGTTGTACGATTGGACATCGGGAACCAAGACGTTGGAGTGCTGTCGGTAGGCATCCAGCTTGGCGAGAACCTCTGGGGGAGTCGGTGTTTTGCTGCCGCTGCTTTCCGCCGAAGGGGTTGCACCGCCGGCACCAACCGCATTGGACCTGGAGCCGCCCGGGCTATAGGCCTGCTTCCAGAGCTGGAGAACGGGATTGAGGCAGCCCGTGTGGGCGGTCCACTGTACGGTATGGTTGAGAAGCGCCGAGTCCTCGTCCCGTTCCAGGGCCAGAATGCGGTCCATCAGTGCAAAGGCCAAGCCCACGTCGATCGTCTCGTCYTCCGGGCGGTTGCCTTCCGGAGTGGCATTTTGCGGCGGCAGCAAACACTCCGTGGTCCTCCAATCGAGGTACTGCCCCCGGTCGCCTCCCCCGCTGGGTTCTGTCTCGGCCAAACCCCCGAAGTCGTGGGGTTCGGAAGGATCYCCGYGGCCCGCRTCGTGGGRTATTCCGGAAGCCGCGGCGGTGATCCGGAGCAGGTCTTCCAGCAATGCCTGAATCGTTTCGGCGGCCGCGGAAGGGGTCAGACGCGGATGCGCTTGCGGTTGCGATTGCCCCGGGGATTCGCTGTTGCTTTTGCTTTTGCTTTTGCTTTCGCTTTCGCTCCCACCGCCAGCAGAAGCAGCAGCAGAAGCAGGCGCGCTTGGGGATGCAACGGTGCCCTCCAGAAAGTCCCCCACGCGGTCGTTCCAGCTCCGGGGGAAGGTGGCTTCCCCGGCGCCAACACCGGCTTCCGACGAGAAGAAGAGCACCGACGGAAGGAACGCCGGAGCGGAACAATGGCGCGGGCCTTTTGGCGGGGGGAGCCACCGCTGCTTCAACGGGSCCCGGGAAGGAACCGTCCCCCGGTGCGGATCCCTTTCCGCTTCCGATGCMYTTGCGAGAGGCCGCCGCGGCTGGAGGCGGMRGATGCAATGGTGGCGACCGRTGTTCCTCGCCATCGAGCGCAGGTGGTGGGAGTGGWTCTTCATCCGTGGGCCTTTCCGGAAGGAAGCAGGGGGAACGACCGACCGGCCGGCTTGCTGGCGGAAAGATCGATTGGTTGCGGTGTCCGGTGTGCGATTTCAATCACCGCTGCCRTGCACCATTTCTTTGTTCCGGGAATCCTTGGGTGGCAAAGAACCGAACCGGTTTKGTTTGTTCGCTAGCTTTCTCTCCTCGCGGCTTTGGGACGCACCGCCGGCAATCGACAGCGAGTGTTTTGGGGTACGYAACGTAACGTACCGGTMCGGTCCGGTGGAAGTCTCGTATCGTGCGACACCTGCAGGAATGTTGCGACACGGGTGCCTGTGCCTGTTGTTGCCGGAGAGTCGAACTGAACGAAACAAAATCCGTTTTGTTTCGTTCCGATCAGCCAAGACAAAAAGTGGTTGTCGTTGTTCCAGAGCCCCAAGAAAAATCTCGTGGATGTGATGTGTACGTACAATACTGTGGTTGGGTACTACGAGGGTACCTACGTCCTGCCTGAGGTACGTAGCACGTACTAGTAGCACGTACGGTAGCGGTTTTTTACGAAAACAAAAACCATGATGTGCATTATGTACGTATCGTACCTTCATATGGTACGGTAACGCAACGACAGTATATCATTGATGCTCGTGGAAAGTCATCTCTATGACCAACTTCCCCAAAATCAACGGCTTTGTTTTCATCATTTTTTTGTAGAGGAAAGGTGCAAAAGGTTCTACGAGTCCCATCGCGACAAAGTCGTTCATTCAGTACCGTACTGTATCGTGCTTCGTAGAACTACGAGTACTGTACCGTACGGTACTACTGTACTCCTTGTTCGTACTTCATAGCCGTGTACGGTACGGTATTCGTAAACGTAATCGTGCTGTCGTGCAACACAACCATAYTTTTGTGCCACGAAAAAGAAAGTATTTCTCTTCCGATGCCAGGAAGCACCGAGCCACAAAGATTCTAGCGCCGAGGATAGTCCAGTTCTTCTATTGCAACATTGAGCGGAATGAGAAGCAACGGCACACCTTCGTCGAAGCAAAGACAAACGSCCACCGCGGCCTCCCCCCGCAGCTCCGGTAGCTATGCCACGGACGACAGCAGGTCGTCGATGGAGGGGAGCCGCCGAGACCGCCGCTCGAAGAGGAACCGCCGCGGCAAGGGAGGCGGGGCCAGGCTGCGACAGGGGCTGGAAATGAAACACATCATGACCCCGACGGTCGGTGTTCTTTTGTTTGGTCTGMTCCTGGCCCTAGCGGACGTCTTGTACATAATGAAACACCTGGAACAGAAATCGGAGGAACTGTCGAACCCGGGGGACACCGCCCCGGTGTCGCCGTCGCTGTCGATGCTCCCGCCGAGAACCGACGGCAAGGGCGGCAAGCCAAACGGCAAGCCAAACAAATTTGGCTTGCCAAACAAATTTGGCTTGCCAAACAAACACAGCAGCGGCAAGCCAAACGGCAAGCCAAACAAACACGGCAGCGAGCTGCGGCAAATGCTGGCGGACCGGGAACCCATCATCAAGCTGATCCGGGACGCCGGGATTTCCTTCGATCCGGTCGCGGACGCGGARCTCATCGAGGAACTCCCCACCTGGGCGGACGTGGTGGAAATGTACGGGCCGGAGCCGGTGATCTACGGGATCAACGAGGGGAACTGCAAGCGATTCCAGGGCCAGACCGATCCCGGGGACCACTTTCTGGGAACGGCGGGGACCTTCAACACCGGGACGAACTTTATGTCGGAGCTCCTCATCCAGAACTGCCTGATGCCCGAGCGCATGAAAAAACACGGGCCGAAGGCGAGGGGGATTCGATGGCAGGTAAGCAGCTACGAGCCGGACATCGAGCGACGAAAGCCGGCACACAAGCAACCCCAACCAAACAAATTGTCAACGGTCGGTCGGTCGGTCGGTCGGTCGATCGATCGATCAAGCGTAGTGCAGCACAAAACGTCACGTCACGTCACGTCACAAACTATTTGATTCTCCAACAATCGTGCACTCGTTGGTGGTTTGCTGGGAGGCAGTCGATTGCCTCTTGTCTTGTTTTGTTTTCTTTCCCTTTTTGTTGTTGTTGTTGTTGTTGTTGTTGTTGTTGTTGTTGTTGTTGTTGTTGTTGTTGTTGTTGTTGTTGTTTCGCTCTGGTACCTCGCACGGCAACTCACAACCATTTTCTTCGCTCTGCCAAAAGGTGCCGTGGGGAAAACATTCGCCCGCCGGGGACCGAGATTTCCGGGAGAAGCACAAGACGGTGAAAGATAAGGACGTCGATGGAAACGAAATCATGCCCGTGGTTACCATCCGCGATCCGCTGGTGTGGATGAAAAGCATGTGCCGCCACAAATACACGGCCAGGTGGTTCGGCTTTCTCGACCCAAACTGCCCGAATTTTTCGCTCGGCGACCTAACGACGAGTGTAAAGTACGCCGAGTTCACGCTCGAGTACGATTCCCTCATAGACCTGTGGAACAAATACTACCTCGAATACAAAAACATTGACATTCCCTTTCTRTTGGTCCGCTTCGAAGACCTGGTCTTCCACGCCGAAGAGGTCACCAGAAAGGTCTGCGAGTGCGCCGGTGGCAAGATCTACCGGAAAAACTTTCGCTACGTGCTCGACTCGGCGAAGAAGGGGAAAGCCGCCCACGGCGCAATGTCCGAGCGGACGGGGTACGTCGACGCCCTCGTGCGGTACGGAACCCTCGCGAAGCGCTACAAGGGGTGGAACTCGAGAGCCGACCTGGAATACATCAGGGAGCACATCGATCCAACCATCATGGGGATGATGCAATACGCCGAGATCGATCCAAACTGGGTTGGCGGCAAGAACCCGCACGAGAAAACAGGGGTACAAGCCGACCCAGAAAACAACGACGATGCAAACGACAACGAAGAAGAAGAAAACGGAAAGGACGACGATGCGCGAGAGAACAAAGAAGGCGGTGAATCGAACGACGACAAAGATCAAGACGACAAAGAAGGAGGCAAAGAAGACGACAACGACGACGAAGTCAGGTGATGAGCACTAGAAGCTCCGCACAACGAAGAGCAGACGGGGGAGGAAATAACCCTTCACCCCTGTTGCAACGAAATCTAYGSCTGAAACTTCGTTTCGGCGATTTGAAAAGAAGAGAGATCCAAGCTAAGAGAASAGCTGCTGTATAGCACTGCATTWCGTACATCATCTACGATTCCCAAATGAGCATCTTCCAAYAAARTGTAAACTAGTATATTATTTGTCTCCATGAGGACTGCACACAAWGTTTGTGGTTTTCAATTACTATTTTCGTTATTGGTTATAATATTTGCCCTGAGTGATGGAGATACRGAAAACCTTTTTGTTTTTTGCTTTCTTTTCCAGAAGGTCATTTCAACAGAGTTCCTAGATACTACCCAGTGATCATGACGGATTCCGGTTGTTTGATGCTTAGCTGTACAGATCTTCCTCGTCGTCGTCGTCGTTGTCCGCAGCACCGGCATCGCCTGCGGCAGCACCCTCGGCTCCCTCCGGGAACGCAAAGGTGGCAAGGCTGCCTCCGGTCGCTCCMGTGACAGCTGCTCGGGACTGTTGCAAGGTCTGGGCAAAGGATGCGTATTGGGCCAAGTCTCTGTCCGAGACAGATCGTCGCGCCTGGCGAACAGCCGACTCAAAGTGCTTTGGAAGGATCTCGGGCATAGTATCATCATCTTCGTCGTCGTCGTCGTCTTCCATCTCATCCCCGGCTTCGGCCTTGATTCGTTGCCGTTCRATGTCRCGTTCAATTTCTTCTCGAATGGCCAATTTACATGCGGTCTGGCAKATTTCTGTCAAATCAGCACCGGTGAACTTGTCTGTTTGAGAAGCCATGTAGGACAAATCGACGTCCTTKGAAATGGGAGACTTTCGCAGAGTAGCTCGAAGAATGGAAAGACGAGACTCAAAGTCGGGCATAGGAATGTAGATCAACTGATCCAAACGGCCCGGACGCATCAGAGCTGTATCAATAATGTCGGGTCTGTTGGTGGCACCAATGATGAAAACGTTCTTCTTCGCACCCACACCGTCCATTTCTGTCAGGAGCTGGTTCATGACACGATCGGCAGCACCGCCACCATCACCCGACGAACCTCCACGCTGTTGAGCAATGGAATCCAATTCATCAAAGAACAATACACAAGGAGCGGACTGTCGAGCCTTTTCGAAAACGTCACGGACGTTTGCCTCGGATTCTCCGAACCACATGGTCAAAAGTTCAGGTCCCTTGACAGAGATGAAGTTAGCCTGACATTCATTGGCAACAGCCTTGGCCATAAGTGTCTTACCGCAACCGGGAGGACCGTAAAACAATACTCCCTTGCTGGGAGACATTCCGAACTTCTCGAATTTTTCGGGATGCTCGACGGGGTATTGGACCAATTCTTTCAAGTCACGCTGCAAATAGAGATTCGAAAGACACGGGAACAACGGTTAGCCACCGAAAAGAAAAGGATTCAAGGCGACCGACASACAAAAKTTTYGTTTTGTCGTCTCGCAAAAAGCTCTGAAGATCACGTACCTTGACACCTTCCAATCCGCCRATATCCTCCCAGGAGACATTCGGTACTTCGACGACAGTTTCTCTCAAACTAGATGGGTTGGATTGAGASAGAGCGTGACGGAAGTGATCTTGATTCACGGCCATGCTATCCAAAATCTCGGCATCGATCTGCTCATCTTCAATATCGATCAGATCCATCTTCTCTCGGATGCATTGCATGGCGGCTTCGGTACAAAGGGCGGCAATATCTGCACCAACAAAACCGTGGGTTTCCCGGGCCACGGCTTCCGGGTCGACGTCCTCGTCGAGTTTCATGTTGCGCGTGTGGATGCGGAAAACCTCGAGACGACCATTTTCGTCGGGAACACCAATGTCGATCTCGCGATCGAAACGACCGAAACGACGCAGGGCAGGATCGATAGCGTTGGGACGGTTGGTACATCCAATGACAACGACCGACGCTCGYTGTTTGAGACCGTCCATCAAGGTCAACATCTGACTGACAATACGACGCTCGACTTCTCCGTTGGTCTTTTCACGCTTAGGTGCGATAGAATCGATTTCATCGATGAAAATAATGGCAGGGGCGTTCTTTTCGGCTTCCTCAAAGGCCTTGCGAAGGTTCGACTCGGACTCACCGGCCATCTTGGACATGATCTCGGGCCCGTTGATCAAAAAGAAAAAGGCACCGGTTTCGTTGGCAACGGCTCGTGCGATRAGAGTCTTTCCGCTTCCCGGTGGYCCGTACAACAAGACTCCGCGTGGTGGCTTGACTCCAAGCGTCTTAAAGAGGGTAGGGTGGCGAAGAGGCAATTCAATCATTTCACGGATCTGAGCCATCTGTTTGCGGCATCCACCGACATCGTCGTAGCCAACATCATCCATCTTTTCTTCGTCCTCACGCTTGACGGGATYTCCCTCGCAGTGGATCACCGTGTCGGGAGCGACGATACAGTAGGGGCTGGGGTCCGTTTCCACAACCTTGAATTCAACGGGGTGCATGGCGGATCGAACCAGGAACAAGTCTCCCTTCTTCACCGGACGGTAGGCCTCCAAAAAGTATGGCTTGAGGTAGACCTCGAAGAGGTTTCCAGAGACACCTTCGATGGTATCGTCCAGGGGCAACACGTGGATGCGCTTTCCGTACGGAACATCGCCACAGGCAGTGACGGTGACGACGTCGCTCAATCGAATTCGGAGGTTCTTGCGAACGACCTTGTTCATRCGAACGTTTGCGTCGTCGCAGGTTTCGTCGGCCAGGACGATGCACACCGTATCGCGACCCTTCTTTCCCTTTACAAGAACGGTATCACCCCGAAAGAGTTCCAGCTGCTCCATYTTGGCGGGACTGAGGGAAATGACCGAGTTGTCGTCGTTGGTGGCATCGTCGACGATCAACCGATTGGGACTGCGCTTTTTGCCACCGGCGCCRAGGATGGCGTCTTTCATTTCTGCGTCTTTGCTGTGGAAGAGGGTGTGCGAACGGTGGAGAAATCGGGCAGCGGAAGAAAATTAGACAAAAACAATCAGAATACGGGGCATCAGCTATCGAACGCAGAAAGTGAWATCTGCCCTCCGAGAAATCTGGAAGACCGGATTTTGAATTTCGTGTATATCCGTAACCATCGCCTCTGCTGTTCCTTTCTTATTTTTGGGGCTAGAGCAGATCRGGTCCAGCAGTCCATTCTTGTGGATATCTCTCACAACTCGTTTGTCATGGCAAGTTTCTCCTTACCTCATTTTGCAGCCTGTGTTTCGTTCGAGTGAGTTGTGCTTTCAAGATASGATCGTCTTGTTCTGTTGTTTGAACCCTTTTCTATTTCTTTMAGAAAGGAATAAGTGTAGCCCTTGATTGCTTCAGCAATTATTTCTTGGACAAGCTTGGTCTAGTTATTCTMTGTGTCGGAATACAGGATCGTCGGTAGAATAATGAAACAGCACAGAGAGCTATCCAGTTCCACTGAACAATTTTAGTAATATTGCTGTAGTAGTCAAGAGTGATGGCACAAGCTCATTCCTGCGATGATGCAGAATAGAAGATATCGCAGTCACAGCATSGCCTTTGTGCCCTGCCGACGCGAAAATGAAAACAAGACGAAATAAGAAAGGGAAAGATGACTATCGAAAAACGCGCTAACATGTCGCGCGATTGAAATCCCCTAAAGTTGTCGATTCTTTTGGGGGATGAAACATAATGCAGTGAGAACCCGGACCTAAGATCTTTTTTGACGACGAGACACAACCCAGAAAGTGAAACCGCGTGTGATTGCCATCTTCTTTTCATTCCTATTTTGAACGCGTGCGTTAAGAAAGAGAAAAATCGAGAGAAAATCACGATCGTTGGAAATCTTCAAATCTGTTTCTCGTCTCCATACCAGTCTATCCAATACTGTAGAAACATCGATTGCATACTCGACAACAATGCAGCTTYTGCTACCGATCACCATCGCCGTTGCTCCCCTAGTGGGACGTGCTTCGGCATTTGCAACAAACAAAAACATTGCCAGGACACACACAACGGGTTTGTTCTCATCCGTTCCCTCCGATGTCTCGTCGGCGCCCTCTCTGACCCTGGACGAGCTCAAGGCCGACCTCGTGAGGGCGTGCACTTCCGAAAAGAAATCGTCGCTGAGTGAAATCCGATCGCTGGTGCAGGAGCTTGAAGAAAAAGCAGAAATGGTGGGAGAGGGACAGTCATCGTCGAGCAGCGGTCTCCTATCTGGTGAATGGTARGTAGCGATGTGCTTTGATTTGTTCGTTCTGTTGCATTGTAAAGGGATAAACTACATTGAACAAGACTCGAATTTGATGGGTGTTTAYCAGAGACTTGTGCAACTAGACTATTTAGGGAAGGTCATTTAGACGCGCAACGCATTCAACAATTGGAAAGGAAGGACGACCACTTGTTTCGTTCTCTCATTTGACATTGTTCTTGTGAAAATTACGGCGATGGCGACAACAACTCTGGCTACAGGGAGCTCTTGTATTCGCCCGAAGACGAGACACGATCGTCGCCCTTCTTTTGGGCGTTTGAACAGGCCTTTCCCGACAATTCGGATCAGATTTTTGGAATCACCGACTCCATACCGGCACCCATCAAGGAGGTCGGACCGGCCTACCAAACCATCGATGGTTTAACCGAGGGCGTCACCACCGGRAAGCTGATCAGCCGTGTCAAGGTAGCAACCCTGGGTGGCCTCGCCACCTCCATCATGACCACGCGGGCCGACATTACGGGAACCGTTGGCGTGGACGGACTTACCATCCAGATCGAGAGCACCAAGCCCGAGGAATCAACGGCCCTGGAAAAACTAGGACCTCTCGGGAACCTTCTGAACGAGAACCTTCCACCCTTTCCCTCCGGGCAGGCTCTGGARCAAGTGGTCCCGGGTTCCTCTACGGTGATCATGCGAACTACTTTCTGCGACGACGGCCTGCGAATCAGTCGAAACGAYTCCAAGTACGATGAGCCTTTTGTGTGGAGACGGAAGAAGTTTTCGGGCACGCAGGATCTTTAAGGATTTACTGMTTTATGCAAACAGGTCGGATCRGAGCGTGAACKTTACAATATCAAGAAAACACGTGCTATTCCGGTCGGATTTGTACGTTTGCTGATTGGTGATCCGATGTACTAGTAAGCAAGACCAAACTTCTGCAAGAGAATTTGCGGTCATTGAAATAAGGTATTTGTCGGTTTTTGCCATCGTTAAAATAAATGGATAGCATTCATAGTACAGAACAAAGAMTTTTTCAATGATAGGGTATCCATCGCAATTGCTCTGATCTTGATGCTTAGATAGGAGCTTCGATGGCTTCCTACCGATTCAAAAAACAAATACAGTAGCTTTTTCAGTACTGTACTACTAGTACAAGTACAAGAAATACTAATCATTTTTAAATAATGGTTCACCACCCAAGCTCATTGACACAGGTGAAGAGAGAGCCACCATGATTGTTCTGTTAGTCCAGTAGTTGTTGGAGCTTTTCTACTATCTTCAAACAAATTGCTTTCGGAAATCGTGATGCAACAAGAACAAAGGAAAAGATCTAGTACAATATCTGATAGCATGTCCTGGTGTAGGGTGACATGTCCTGGTGTAGGGTGAGACATGGGAAAATTAGACTTGGCTTTCTATTGGTATAGATGGGATATCATTTGATAGGCCACCATATAATTTCTAAGGCAGTCTACTTAGTCTTTCAATTTGAATTTAATCAACTCAAAATGGTGGGAGGAGACTCCCACCTCTTGTGCTGTTGAAAAAGATGTTACCTTTCTTGGATAGAGAAATTAACATATTTCTTGAACTTTGAATAAACCACAGGTTTAAAGTTGATGCAATATGGGGGAAGGTCCTTGATGATTTAAGAACAAATGAGTTGAAATTAGGGGTCTACAAGAATGCAACAGTATTTGAAGAACATTGTGTCGCAATGGTCCAAAACGCCTTTTTCATCCTTGTCTGTTGTGCAATGTCATTCCATAATCATAAATTAATAATATTAATAGTATTACCTAAGGAGCTCCAGATTGTATGGTGATTCCTTGATACTCCTCTGAGGATTGGAAGACACCTCAGCTTGCTCTTTTTGTTCCTGTTCTTGCTGCATGATCATCACTCACATGATGATATAAGAAATACTATAGCCCCTTTAGTAAGAAGGTCCAGGAATTCATATTAAAGTTTGGTCTTGCCAAAATATTAAGTCCCATGTGCACCCACCAGTCTTCCAACAGTAATATTGGTAAGAACATCTAATAACAACCCCTCTGACAAGGTCTAAGAATTCAAATTCTAATATATATTCCCATATGCATTCTGTCTTGCATTTTTTAGTCCCATATACATTCAGTCTTCCAACACTAAAGCACATTTGTAGAGTGGTGCAGCATTGCACAGTTGCAATTTTTTTACTGTAGTGCAGTGTTGCAACAGTCATATACCACCATTGTATTGCAGAACCCTAGTTGAAACAACAAGAACATCATAATGAAATAATCAATTCAAGGTTGTGAAACCTTGGGATAAACTCCAAGAGAATGTTGCTAATGGAAAATACAGCAATTCTGACAAGTGTTCAATAAGAAATGATGGCATATTTTGAGTTTCTCACCAAAATAACAATAAAAATGACAGACTGCCAGATCACACAACAATTGTAGAGAACAATGAAGATAGCTTCAAACCTAAAGCTTCAGATTGATTGGACAAGAAAATGCAGAGATGCACATTAATGCTGGAGGATAATGTAAGACAAAATTTCCTTCAACTGGTGGATAGATCAAATGCCAAAGAAATTGCATGTTGAGAGACCTTTATATCAACAATGACAACAAACTAGATGGTGAAATATCCAAAGCCAATCATGGAGCCATGTGTACATGCAACATGTCTGTGACACTACAACTACTAGTCTTAAATGTGGTGGTGGTAAGAATACCTCCAACAAGAGATTTTAAAATTGTCAACCTTGACAGACATTTTGTTTGAGGATCATGTGTATTACTACTACTAGTAGTCGTGCTACTACTAGATGCTGGTCATTGAAAGAGAAGGTGGCTCCAAAAAAGTGATAACCACCTTAGTACCTTCTCAAAAAAACTGCAGCAAAGGCTAAATTTTATTATCCTCAAATGGTGGTATGCCAAGAACTAATCACCCAAGTAGTAGTACCAATACCGGCCAGTACTGGTAGTAATACTACCGCTTGTGTCCGCTTCGAAGTACATAATGCCATACCCAATTATTCTCACTCACGAGGCAATCAGTCCCGGACATCACGGGTGAGATCGCGAGTCTCGATCTATTCGATCTTTGACCCGAAGCGACGATGGATCGTATGATGATAAGGCTGATAAAGCGACGACGTTCAACGTTGGTCGACACAAACCTATCCCATGCAGAGGATTTGGAATAGTAGGAGGTAATGCGACGAACTAATTCCAAGAAATTAAATTTTGATTCGCTTGATTTGATTCAATTTGATCGATCCTGAGAGACTAAGCTATGAAGGCGGCTGTTTACAAGAATTTCAATGAGCCGATTGAAATTTTGACCGTGCCCAAGCCGAAACTCTCCTCCTCGACCTCTGTCATAGTTCAGGTGATGGCTACCGGCGTTTGCCGATCGGACTGGCACGGTTGGAAAGGACACGACGACGACATCAAATCACACGGATTTCCCTTCATACCAGGACACGAACTCAGCGGCATTATCGTCAAAACCGGTCGGTCCGTGAACAAACTGCGAACTGGCGATCGCGTTGCCATTCCATTCATTCTGTCCTGTGGCTCCTGTGCCGAGTGYCATGTCGGCAAACCAACGGTTTGTTTGAAACAAGAACAGCCCGGTTTCACCATGCTTGGAAGTTTCGCTGAGTTTGTCGAGATCAAACGAGCGGATCGGAATCTRCGAATTTTGCCGAAGGGCGTCAGTTTCGTGGAAGCTGCTGCTCTCGGATGTAGGTTTACMACCGCATATCGAGCTGTCATTCAGCAAGGATTGGGAATGCGGAACAAAAATCGTCCGAACGATTTTCGTGGCTCGTCCAACAAAATAACAGCTTGCGTATTCGGKTGCGGTGGGTTAGGACTTTCTTGCATTATGATTGCGGAAGCATTTCGTGAGGAGGGAAACATAGAATCRATCATTGCAGTGGATGTATCCGACAAGGCATTAGACAAAGCTCTTACGCTTGGTGCGGATCGTGCCGTAAACGTGAAATCACTGGGCATGAAGGACGACGCTGTTCGAATGAAAGTCATGGAATACACGAACGGTTTGGGAGCCGACTTGACCATTGATGCTGCAGGGTTCGCATCCACGTGCGAAAATGCTGTCCATACCTGCAGGCGCGGAGGGAGGATGRTTCAGGTAGGGCTCCCGATTGGTGGTCGTCCGCCCCAGATACCGATGGGAGCCGTCGCGGGCAAAGAGCTTGAGATCGTTGGCTCTCATGGTTTCGCTGCTACCGAGTTGCCCGATCTGCTCGGCTTTGTAGAAAGCGGAAAACTCCGGGTGAGGCAACTCGTCGAAAAGGAGGTCAATCTGAGGGAGGGCATAGAGGCACTAATGGCAATGGACCGTCAGAGTCCTCTCGGTATAACAGTCATCACAAGATTCGATGATACAAGTCGGCTTTGAAGACAATTAGCTGAAGGAGTTTGCGAAACSAWTGCGTGCATGTGTAGTTGTACTAGTAACCAACGAAGGAGTTTCATTGTAACCATCGCATTGACTGGTACTTAAATTCTTTTCAAGTGGGGCATTCTTCAYTGAAATCTTTGTGTTCCAACAAGATGAAGAACCATAGTAGTAACAACAGGACTACTACTACTAGCTACTAACTACTACTGTACTAGTACTACTGTCTCACAAAATCATTCCTTATCCGTTGCATATATTTGTGGATTCAATAAGCCCATTGACTTCATCTTCGGAATATTTGAGTTTCAACTCATCGATTTCTAGTGGTTCAAAAAATTAACTTGTTGTTCTGCTAGTACTAGTAGCAACACTTTCGCTTTCGTACGAGCTATTTCACGGAAGTTGGCTACGGTGCACTACACTTCACTTCACTATCTTTAGTGCATGTAGCCAGTAACTTTGAAGAATTCTTACAGCCCTGGACTTACCGAGGAAACAAAAAGATAATTTTTTTTAGTGTAGATTTGTACAAACCCCGGTATATTAATTTTTGCAAATAAATTAGTACCTTTACCAAAATACATTATTTCATTTTTAACTTAAACATTCAGTCATTATTGTGACAACAAGTCATTCTATTAGCAATAACCTAGTTTTTGCACCGTAGTAAGTTTTTTTGGCCGCCGCCATCCCAAAAAAAAACACAGGCGGCGGCCGCAACCAATTCCTTCTACTACTTATGCAGGTACGTWGTACGTACGGTACCTTACGTACGTACTCTTTCAAAGATTTTACCGAAAACAGAAAAGAGACTTATTCAGTCACGTGTATTGAATCACGTGCTGTTTTTGGTTTTTGAACCATTCCTTTTTCGGAGTTTTCACTTCGTGTTCACTTTGACTAAAGCTTTTTGATGGTTCCAATCTTTGAAATTCGAAGTTTCATTGACGTCTTCGTCTTTACGWCTGCTTCCTGCTACACCAGTAAGAGTGGAAAAGGGAAAACTACCTTGACCATAGCTAMCACACAAGAACCTCATCTCTGGCCCARTTYGAACCTAGTTCGCATTTTCCGCAGTATCCCGATTTCCACGTGCTTCGCCATTAGACCATGTCTCCAAAGAAGAAGAAAAYCAGGCACGAGTCGCCACTGACAGGGCAAGCAACCGGCGCGATTTCGTCCGGTGCGTCAAACAATAAACGAAGGAAAGCCTCTGGATCTGCACAGAAGCCCATGTCGAAGAAGGCACAACTTCGTGCGAAGAARGAAGCGCTAGAAGCAATGGAGGAAGAACGACTGACAGCGATGCTGTTCGGCGGTGGGGTCACGAACGATGGCGGGGCTGCTTCCTCGTCTCTGGTTCCCATCGACGACTACGAGGAYGCCAGCAACGGAGACAATGRCGAAGAGGACGAAGCAGAAGCCCCGTTCGAATTTGAGATTGATCGTGCCGGACAGCAATCGAGCGACGATGATGCCGACCCAAAGGAGGAAGAGCTCGGTCAAGCCTGGAACGACGAAGATGACGACGACGACGACGCAGGAGAACACGCTATGGTGTTGCATAGCGATGATGGCGGCGACGACGAAAGTGCTGAAGAGGAGGATGCCCCGGCATGGGAAGATGCTGATGATGCCAAAGTCGCGTTAATMGATGGCAACTCTCGCTTGAAGAAGCTACGTCGCTCACGACAGGAAACCGAGGCCTTGAGTAGTCATGAATTGGAACAACGATTAAGGCAGCGATACGAATCTTCCTCTCAATCTACAGCTCGGACCGACTGGGCAACGAAAACGAAGAATCGCAAAACAAAAGACGGCGAAGACGGTGAAGATAATGACGAGGCAGCTCTTGCTCTTTTTTCGACTTCGAAGTCGCTGCTRGCGAGCTCTCGAAATCAACTCCCACCAAAYATATTAGACATTGTACGCTGTCCCGATGCCAACCTGGCGGATCCAAACAAGGCAGTGGTGCGTTGCATTGATTTTCACCCAGCGTCTGATCCAGAGCAACCCCTYATGTTGACCGCCGGGCTAGATAAAACGTTGAGATTTTTCCAAATCGGGGAAGAGAAGAGTGAAAAGATTCATGGAATTCACTGTGAGTTTAAAATGTGTTCACGTGTTGGTCGAGTCTGTTCTTTTGTAGCTAYATKGYAAAACCTCACTTTTTCGTTTCTGCTGCTGTGAATAACAAAAGTTCCCGAAATGCCWATCTATAGTGCTTCTTTCTTGGGAGATACTGGCAAGGTCGTGCTGAGTGGACGACGAAAATTTTTSTATTTCTACGACATGATTTCTGGAAATGTTGACCACGTCCCAAGCATTCTTGGACGGGACGAACGATCATGGGAACGCCACACTGCATCCCCAGATGGAAAACTGATTGCTTTTGTAGGAAACGACGGATAYGTAGTTTTGGTGGACTCCCATTCGAAACATTTCGTTGGAAGTCTGAAACTCAACGGGAGCGTTCGCACAATTACGTTCACACCCGACAGCAGCGAGCTTCTTGCTAGTGGAAGCGACGGGGATATCTACAGGTACGTGGACGAATCTGTTTATCTCATTGCTTGCTTGCCTAGATGTTGCAAGGATTTTTGTCTAGAAGCAATACTCACATTGAAATTCTATCCCTTTCTTTCTTCTTGCCTACTTTTACTTCAGATGGGACGTGAAGAGCCGCCGTTGCATTGAGCGCTTTTCCAACGGTGATGGAACAATAACATCGTCCTTGGCTGCTTCTAATACCAATCTAGCCGTTGGGGCAGAGAGTGGAGTGGTCAACCTTTATTCGGAGCATCGCGCCCAGCAATCGCGGGCATCCTTGATGGGAGGACTCCAAACAAAGACACCGCTCAAATCCATCATGAACCTCCMGACKTCTGCCGACGTTGTAAGCTTCAATTCGGATGGCCAAATCCTGGCCATGTCGAGTCAACGCGAACAACACGGCCTGAAACTCTTGCACGTTCCATCACGAACCGTGTTCTCAAACTGGCCCACGGCTCAGACCCCACTCGGCTACGTTTACAGCCTAAAATTTTCTCCTGGTTCCAAGTTTTTGGCAGTAGGGAATGACAAAGGAAAATGCCTGCTCTACAAGATTAAGCACTACCATAATTAATAACTAGAAGTTCTTGTAGTAGCAAATATTGATTCTTCGCTTGATAAAAAAACCAGTTCCGATGCTGCGTTTGGAGGTTCTGAACAGAGTTCGATTTTTCGTGCAAGGAGAACCATTGCTCTCAGTGATGAGTACTGTASTAAACAAGTTGTTGCCACCTATCACGTTACTTCGTTAAGAAACACATGTGYCATGACTAGGGGTACGACTACTTGAGGAAAACAAACACACCGTACTTGATCTCTYACTTCGAAACACCAATCAGCGTTGCACTTTTGTTAACACAGCACRCGGTTTCATCGACTTCTTGTGTCGCAACTTATCTATGTATATTCAACGTGCAKTCAAAGGYTGACTTCCACAAGTGTTTCTCATCCAAGATGATTTGACATGGTCCATACGAATCAAGTATGGTAGGGAAAGGGCACATTCCACGCAGCACTAACGCTCRACTTCAAACAGAGCTTTCRGGATGGGGATTTTATTTATTGTTTAGTAATGAAAAATAGTGGAACCAGTAGCTTACTCGTCATCATCATCTCCAAKGGATCGTGTGTAAATTCTTTGSGATCGGGAGATCAAGATGGGTCGGATTTTCCCATCTTCCTCGAGGTCTCGTAGAGCTCTGCGGGCAAGACCGGCATTGATCTTAAGCTTCTCTACGACTGAACTGACGGAAATGAACTTCATTTTGGGAACTTCGTCGTGGAATCGTTCGAATTGTTCCTTGCTGAAAAGAACCTTGTTATCAACTTGGTCTCGGGACTTTCCCTTCGACCACTTTTTCTTCTTTCCCTTACCACCGGCCATGGCGGCGGCCATCTTTTGTTCCTTCGACTTTTGCTGGACTTTAGGAGGCTACGCATCGCGGAATAAGTATTTAGATGAACGCATCAGATGGGAAGAACAAAACAGAGGTAAGACATATGCAGTATCGCGACACGAAACATGAGGTATGTTGCCGATTACCACTTCATCCGCCCACCCCATCGCCACCGCTGCACCAAYGCCTATTTCYGCCTACGTCTCCACACCAACTTTMTCGTGTTTCAATCCTTACCATGGTGACTAATTTCTCTTGATACTAATGTTAAACAAAATAAAAGGGAAAAGGGTACAACAGTACGAGTAGTAACAGAACCGGCAATGGCGAGACTCTGGTGGGGTTTGTATTAGGGCACCAGAGCTCAGGGCACCGGTTGTAGTGTATTTCATCGCCTCATTGCTGCTGCGCGATTATCGCGCGTCATGGTGCTCTGGAGGCGGAGAGTAAAGAGGTAAAAGGTAGAGATGTCTGACGTAGGACAGACCCAATCACTTATTCGGACGTACAGTACCGTATGGTACCTAGTACTCTAATACGTACCAAGTATGGTGTTCTGCCGCATTCAAAATCACGAATTTTGTTAGGTTTTCGTTTATTTTCGTACCTGTAGATACTCGTACAAACCGTACGGTACGCACTCGCCGCCCCCGTACATTTTTTTTTTCAGGCGGACTAGTCCAAAAATAAAATACTACCAAGATGTAAAATGTAGTACGTACCGTACGGAACTTTAGTACTTCTTCTAGTACAGATAGCAACTGAATTCTCTTCCTACTAGGAAGAGCATTGTAGTACCATAGTACTCCAACACGACACTACATGTTCTTAATGTTAGACTTCACACTCTGAGTGTCAGACTTAATGTTTTGAGTATTGGTATAAAACAAAAAATCACCATTTCCAAGAACAAGAACAAGGGTACTACTAGTACTACTACTAGTAGTAGTAGTACATTGTTGTTGTCACACAAACTGATACTAGTAGTACTACTAGTACTAGTATGGTGGCTAAAATGAAATTTGCGCATATTTTGTGCTGCTCATATGCAAACATGTGGCCCTTGTCCTTGGAACATGTTCTCAAACCACTCATTTCTCACGAGGAGGAGTTTGATGCCCGTTCTCATGGTCGTTTTCAATTTTTATTCAAAGTAGTTTTTTTCTTCGTCGTTTGATGACAAATTGTCTCAATTATTTGACAAGTATCTCCTGTGGTCACAAAACTCCTATWTTGACTGCCTTTATTCCTCTAGTCTGTTTCAAATCCTTCTTCTCCCCTATTACTACCAACTTTCTGCTGCTGCAAATTGACAACTTTTCTACTGCTAGTAGTGCCAATTTTTTCACAGGAGTTAGTAAGAAGCACGTCACAATTCAAAAAGAAAAAATCTCAATGCATGTATTTTTGTACTGCTTTTGTCACTCATTTTGGTATCTGTAACGTGTCATTATTTTTACTGTAGTATTTTAGTTTGGTATTCATAACATTCATATCTTTGACCTCAGTTCATTTATGATCTTGTTGTCCTCCCAATATTTTTTCTTATCAACTTTTTTCCATTTTGTGCAATTTTCATTTTATATTAGTAATTCTATCCTACGCTGCCCTTAGTGCTTGTTCAATCTCTGCTGAAGTGCTGTCTTCTGCTCTTTGCTTCTTTATTTCTACTACTAGTAGCTATAACTACTAACTTCACAAAAAACATACGTCCCTTGTAGCTCCAGCCCTCTTTGTTACCAATCCTGCTATTGATGAATTGTTTTCTGGTTTTCTTTCCACTCCCAGAATTATTCCACAATTTGTAGTTGTTGTACCGTTGACTAGGTATCTAAGCTTCAGAGTTGTCAGGAGGAAACAAAATGGTTTCAGGTGGACAGGTCTGGGGTCAGTGAGAAAAAATGTGTCTGATGGCTCTTGTTATTACTAAGACGTACTAGTACTATGCTCTTTGTATATTGCTGTGAAATGATCATAAGAGTATCTCCCTTCTTGTTTTGTGTCTCCTCTATGTATACAAAGACAAACTACTAGTAGTAACAAGCAAGTTCTGCCCTACTTGTTTCTGATCTTTGTTTTCTTGATGTTTAAAGACCAAAGAGAAACACAAATGAGAATATTGCTTGGAAAATAGAGAAAATCACTTTCTTCCCTTGATGGGGGCCCAATCAACAAGAAGAGGGGAATGAAGGAGTTTCTAGTCTTGTTAGTAGTACTAGTACTAATATGATAAAAAAAGAAATGCATTTCATTTCTGTAATCTTACTAGTAGCAGCAGTAGTAGTAGTGCACTTCACATTAAAAAAGAACTTGTTGTTGTTACCACCATTCTTTGTGTTGTCAATGCCTCAGAATCATGGAAGTCAAAAAGTTTGAAAATACTACTAGAATAGTGTTTTTATTGGCTAGAATAGTCAATGGAAATGGGAGTCTGAGGGGGAAAAACACTAAAAATCTGGTATGAAGTTCTTTAAACCTAGACTGTAGTTTACATAGTTCAAAATGAGAATGGCTGTTTTTTGCACTATAAACTGTTTCTCCATTCAAGAAATATAAGTGTCAATTGTTGCTGTTTCTTAAAAAATAACAGTTTTTTCCGTGAAAATTAAGTGGTTGCAAATGATAAGTTGCTGATATGATGGCATGGACCACTCTAGTACTAAGTACATGAAAAAATCTGTTTTGACTTCCATTTGCTGTGTACTGCAAAAGACGTAATCCATAGTTCAAGAAGGGCATTTAGACAGGTAGTACTAATACTACTACCAGTAAAGTTTGCACCTCTTGGGTTGGATTAAGCTCAATATTTGTGTGATTTGACTGCTTCTTTTTTCATCATGTTGATCTTGTTGAATACTTTTTGAATGTGATATGACTTATGCAACTATAATGTCATACCAGCAACAATAAGGGAATAAGCCTTCAAAAAAGATTATTTTTTGTATCAATATGAAAATACTGTAAGTTGCAGGGTTCTACCGGTCATTTTGATAGGCTGCTACTACTAGTACTACTACTAGCACATGATAGCCAGCCAACAAGAGTGACACATTTTTGAGGCTGTAATTCTCTTTAGTATGAAGAACTTTCTTGCATTGATCATTTTCATTTTAAAGAGGTGCTCGGTACCATTGTCAATCCAAACTCACCAGTGCAAACTTTGGAGTTCCTGTGTTAATAAAGTGTATTTTCATGTGTGACAAAAAAATATTTTTTTTCACATGCATGCTCATTTTTATCTACAGTACTGATTCTACGTGTTGAACACAGTCATATACACAGTCATTTGTGCAATCCAATGGCCAGAAACTCCAAAATCTGTTAAGTAAATACTGCACCATCACTTTGGAAAAATAAAATAGGGCAAACTGCACCATTATTTAGGGATGGAGGTAGTAGTAAAAAACTACCGTCCTCCATGATGTGCCGCGGTCTTGGAGCAATCTTGTACGGGAGGTTCCGAATGAAGGTGTTCGCGACTCGAAACTATTTCTTGAATAGTGCCCTCAGTAAAATTCTTCTTGAAGAAAATAATATTCGTGACACGATGAATAAAAATATAAAAATAAGCCACCGCACAATTTTTCTTAAAACTCAAGTAGGTCGTGAATATAC